GCTTTATAAAATATTTTAGCACATTCATAGCAATATTCTTTTTTCGAGAGGCAAACAAACTACAAACAAACAAAGCAAGCGATCAGTACAAGTTCTGATTGACTTGGCAGCAGATTTTTGTTGATTGTGTTATTTATGTTTCTTGTCGTTTACTGGTCAATACGATAACTTATTGCAACCCCAACTAGTAGGCATCTTACGTTAGCAAGATAAGTTTGGTGATAATTAATGCAGCTAGCGAATTACTTACATAAAAACCTACTAGTTGGGGTTGCAATAAGTTATCGTATTGACCAGTAAACTTGTACTGACCAGAACTTGTACTGATCGCTTCTATTGCTCATCCTGGCAATCTATTGCTCATCCTGCTAGTCCCGGATGTAGAGGGTTGAATTTCGGACCGTATTTAAAACCACTGAAATTGTGGCAGCGTATTTGAAATAGCCAAAATAACGGGACTGAATATTGTAAAGCAGAAATAAGAGGACTGAATGTTACTGCTTGAATAATACAGATGCGAATAAAACACATGGAATATTTTCAACTGAATTTGTTCTTTTGAAATTTATTTTGAGGCGAAATTAAATTAACTGAATTCATGTGGTTGAATTATAAACATGCACTTTAAAATACGTATCTTTTGGAACTGAATTTTGGAAGCCGAATATTTTTGTACTGAATATGTAAGCAATGAAATTACGATTGAAATGTTTTCAGTTGAAATATTCAATGTTTAAATATATGCAAATATTAAATTACAGTTCCCAAAAATTCAAAGCGTCATTAATGCAATGCGTTTTTATTCGATGAGTGTAATTCAACGTGTTTTTTTTCCCATCAACGACTTTTGTCATTAATTTACTTCCATACGTTTCCGACGGGAGGTGACGTTTTTCGTGACGTTTCATGACGTTTTCATCCGAGTGCCGACTTGCATAGAAATAATCGAAAGCACCATAAGGTACCCCCGATATACCGAACACACTGTGATGATGACAATTTGTACATGATAGTCTAATACATAGATATTTTCGCTTATGTTATTTTTGCAGGCTACAATACTGTTTTGATTGACCTGCTACCCGCCCGTGTGTAATGAATTACCCGCCCGCATACCCGCCTGTAAAATTCCAGAACATTAAAATCCGCCCGTTTCAGCAACTATCTGCGGGTACCCGACCCGGTGCAGGACTCTGAGAGATGGTGTAGGATACTGATCTGAGACCAGCATCAGCCACAGTTTGAGTCGGGTGTGATGACCGAACCTATGTTCAAGTACTAGAAATTCAATTGGCTTTAAAGCTCACTATGGGCGAACAGTAGAAAAAAACAGATTTTACTCAGTCTTATTTTGGCACCTGGTACTGAAGGATATGTAATGCACTTCACATTTATTAAATTATGGCCAGTAATGTTTCTTTCTTGCATTTTCTTCTGTGTGGTTCTGCATGCTTTTGGTTAGATTCTTCTTGTTTACAGATCTTCATTACACATCTCACATCGCATCCATTGTGAAAGACTATCAGTAGATAAAATGATGAGAAGGTTGATCCATTCAAATGTTGTATTAGCTCTATGGATGAATGAAAAGCTGATATTGATTGTTGCTGACTGTTTGCTTGTTAGTCTGCGTAATATTTTTTTATTAATAGGGCATAATTTTAGCATAAAAGTTGTTAATTTTGCATAATTCTGCCACTTAACATTATTTAAGGTGCTGTTAAATTTATGAACTTAAAAAGCTAAAAATATATATTAATACTAACGGGAACAGTGACAATATGAAGTCCCATTTGATAGGAATAAATCTTTTTTTTGAACTGAAAAGGATGTGTCTAATTCAAAGTGCGACATAATGACCATGCTGAAGGGTACTTTCCCATAAAATAGGTTTTTGTTGAGTTCTCGTTAAACCAGAATCGCCATTATCGGGTGCTGGCTGAGCTGTTATTGTGATAAGTGCACAGATTTGCTCTTATTAATTTAGCAGGACATTTACGACAAGTTGAATATGGTAATAACAGGGCAGTAAAAGGCTTTGGGTGTTGAGGAATCATATAATTGCATGTTTAAGGTTTTGCAGCTTCTCTGCCAGGCGGAAGATGTCAGGGTTTTCTTGCTGAATAGTCTGAGCTAGAGACTAGGGTCTGACATTCTCCGATTTCACTGTCGATTGCTTGAGACCTTTTTCTGCTTAACAGACTAAAATCTTTATAGGGTTTTGTTTTTTTTCTCACTTTTCTTGCTCTTGGTCTGTAGTCCGTTACAAAGAGTCTTGCCAATCGCTCAGTGTCTTTCTCTCGTGGCGTCTGAAACCGAAGCGCCTTTGTCCCATCTCTGTTCTGCAGGATTTGTTTTGCACAGGT